CGGCGCCACAGCCAGGGGCCATCGTCCCACGTTGATCGGATCAGAGTGGAAAAAATAAAAAGCGAGGGAGGGGGGTTATATGGGATAATTAGCATATGCCACTTCTCATATAAGTTACCCCTAATACTGAATTTTAGTGTGCAGAAAATGCCATTTTCATGCACGAATTTTCAAAAATCTCCCTACCGTGGGAGGGGGGATACCCCTCCCACACCCTACCCCCTCGGTCGCTTCGCTCCCTCGCCTTGGCCCCCCCTGTTTCCAATTGCTGGCTACGCCACTGCGTACAATTTCAACGACCTAACTGCCCTCCTAGCAAACATTTGCATCGAAATAAGGCTTGGCTATCATCATTAATGCCGAAGTACTCCACATAAAATACAGGCTTATAATATCTACATAATATATAAGAGTTTGGGCAGATCCTATTCATGCGCACACCCAGATCTACCAGTCTGGTCAAATCTCAAGGACTCATTATAAGGACGGAAATACGTTGACGAAAGGAGTGCGATATTGCGAGTAACATACGAAAAAAATGCATTCACAACGCATTTTTGCATTGCAATGCAGGCTGCGTGTAGGCCCTATGCTGCTTCACACGTGTTTTTTATTGCAGCTAACTTTTTTCTGGAGTGGCAAACCACGCGCTTTTTCCATTCTCAATAGTTGATCCGTGAGCAGTTCGTTCTTCCCGCTGTCAATGCCTATAGGAAAATTTGCCCTCTACGCCCCCAACGTTAGCTACAGTATAATTTTTATAAAATTATACTGTAGTGGTGAGTACATACTGAGGAATCCTTAGTTATAAAGCTTGTTGATCCAAATGGCTCACTCAACTTCGTTAATTATAAGGCGACAAGTGGTCTTGACGCTCAGATACAAGCCACGAGCGATAGATTATAGAGTCAGAGGTGTCTGTGCGCATGCGTATTATCTGTTAACACAAATCCAATTTCGCTGGCATTGTGTGAGAGAGAATATATTCAGGATTAGTATTCTATGGAAAATGTAAAACGCGCTTCCTCCCTTATACAATAAAAGGGAGCTCAATTGTCTCAACATCCCAATTACCCACAATTTTAGCAGAATGAAATTACGTACATTTTCGCTGCCATTAGTCGACACTAGATTATCTATTGTATTGTGGAGATTTCAGGGGGCTGACTTCATCCAACCACACGCCTCAAATTACACGTGCTACTCATAGCACGTGCGAAAATCCAGTTGCAGCAACCCCTAGGGCCACTACTGTAAGATTGCTGGAAATTTTTAGTCAAAATTGGACGGCTATTCAGATCAAGATTTGCGATGAGAATTCCAACCGCTGTCAAGGTCCTCTTATTTTTATGTACATAAGATCGATGAAGTAGGATTGCTTATGACATGTGAGATAATGCGCCATGATGTCCGCCCCTACCCTCGAACCCCATGATATAGTTTCCCCAAAAAGAATATATTTGTTAGGATTTGTGATCGAAACCTACTGCCACTCGAGGTCCTCTCCTTTTGAAGCACACGAGGTCGACCGTAAGGCATTGCCTTTGAGACATAGCGTGCCGAGTTTCCCGCACCCTATAATTATATACTTTATCATAGAGGAATTTGAGAGGCGGGCGTTGTCTCCAAAGTGAAATAGATCGGGATTTCTGCGATGGAACTCCCCTGCTCGCTAAGTTTTTATCCCATTGAGGTAGGACGAACGCATCTAATTATCTATATAATGTCGCGCCTGACATATTATGGTATTTAGTTTTTGGTACCATATTATGTTTTGTACCAATTCGGCAGCAAGTGAATAAAGGAGAGCAGCGGATACTGCGGATACGACCGAGGTGTGCTCATAGGTGTGCTCGTGTGCTGAATCACTGAATGCGTAGCGGTGACGTACTATTTGAGGTCAAAGGTCGCACATATTTGCATATAAACCCTATTATCTACTCCTGATATAAATGATCAAAGATAAATTCTATAAAGCAAGATTATAAAACCAAATTTAATGTTAACTAGAAATTACATTAACAATAATCTGCGGTTGCTTTACTCGTTGCATGATTCGTTTGTTTTTGAAGAAAAAATGTGGAATAACCAACCATATTTACTGCGGTACAGTCACAGGTACAGCCACACTGCAGCATGGCGCTTTTGAAGTTGTTACGCGGAGCTTGTATTTATATTTATGTTGACATACCTTGTAAATACAAAAGTAAGTTAGTTTCGTGACTAATAATCTTATTCTTTTGTTTTTCACCGTTTTGTTAGTTTATCGTGCGATGAAGCCGTACGTAGCTAAATACTTTTGATGGTAACCATGCGTGACTTGTTCTGTTGACTGTTGTGTTTGGACAGCCAGTAAAAACTTAAAATAATATGAACGTGGCACATTCACAGAAACTACCCGTTTATTACACTTCCACTAGTAGAATTGTGTCACTGTATATCGAGTTGCTTTCACAAAAACTAACCGACAAGCATATAAACACAACGGAACGTAAAACCAATGGACGTTACATAAATGTGTTAGTCGTAAGGAATTGTTTGTAGAAGCCCTAAACTGGTACTTCTGTATACATTACAGGTACCTAATAACTTTTGACAGTCTTACTACACAGTATCATGGCTCATTATTCATTATAAACTACAAACACCAAAGTAATTTCCCAATGCCTAACTCTGCCTAACCCTTAATATACCCCTAGCTACGTCTAGCATTTCTTCAGTGTAGCAGGTAGTCAAAAGGTATACGATTACTGTATGATACAGAGTGAGTATTCCTTATTCTCATTGCAGGTACTCTTGCCTTGGTGGGTGCAGCATACGTAAGCTATATGGTGCTCAAAGTTTCCTATTACAGCATTAACTTTGTCAGAACGCATTTGCTGTACAGAATACGACCAAATAACCTGCGACGATTCGGCGACTGGGCGGCGGTGACGGGATGCACATCCGGCATCGGAAGGGAGTACGCCACAGAGTTGGCCCGGCAGGGATTTAACCTGGTGCTGCTCAATCGGCCGGGCCGCCTCGACAGGGTTGCGCAGTCGATCGAAGAGACCTACGACGTGCGTGTCATCGTGATCAAGGCCGACTTCAGCCGCGGCCCAGGCGTCTACGAGGAAATCGCTGCACAGCTGCGCCACCTGGAGGTGGACGTGCTCGTGAATAATGTTGGCGTGATGTACGACTACCCGATGCCGTTCGCCGACGTCCCCGCGAACAAGCTGTGGGAGCTCGTGAACGTGAACGTCGCCGCGGCGACGATGATGACGCACCTGCTGCTGCCGGGGATGCTCGCGCGGCGGCGCGGCGCCGTCGTCAACGTCGCGTCGGCGTCGGCGTACATGCCGACGCCGCACGTCGCCGTCTACTCGGCGACCAAGTCCTACGTCGACTTCCTGTCGCGCGCGCTGCGCCACGAGTGCCGCGGTAGCGGCGTCGTCGTGCAGACGCTGGTGCCGTTCTACGTCGCGACGCGCATGACGCGCTACGCGGAGAGCATCGCGCGGCCGTGCCTGACGATCCCGAGCGCGTGCGACTTTGCGGTCGGCGCGGCGCGCACGCTCGGCGTCGCCGCGCACACGACGGGCTACTGGTGCCACTCGCTGCAGCTGATGATCTGCTGGCTCGTCCCCGAGTGGCTGTGGATGTGGGGCGCGACGATGCTGAACCTGGGGCTGCGCCGGCAGGCACACCGACGCATGATGAGCAAGCAGCATAGCAGCGGCGGGTCCGTCGACGGCCCGTGGGCTAGCCCCACGCACAAGCCCGGAAAGCTGGCGAAGAGCATTGTTAGTCATAGTGAGCCGTCCACGCACAGCGGTCAACACGATAGAGCTGATCCGATCCGCGCAGCTAGTGAGAATGACAGCGTATTTCTCGAGTCGTCTCAGTACTAGTCTGCCCTCATCCTTACATCGAGCGTCGTCAAAATTGAACGTTTATAATTGGAAGAAAAATCGATGTAGTGTAGAATATATTTATATTATGAGGTAGAAAAACATGGTAGTAGTGAAGAAATTTTTTCTACTAGTATGGAATGAGTTTATTTATACAAACACTGTGCCATTTTGTTGCCAATGTTAATGTGAGCTCAAGATATTTTTGTGCAATGTACAGTGGGCTTTCGTGCTAAGGAAATGCACTGCCAGATATTGCTCGCTATGTTATAGTGTCCGAGATTTCACACGAGAGCTACATTGCACTTTTTAATGAATACTATTTGCTCCGATGCTACGATACGATTGCTACGATGGAGTCTATAATCATTAGAATATTATTTTAAATCACTATATTTTGTGGAGCATAGCTTATGTGTAAATCAAACAGGTTGCAGGTTTCCAGTTATTATACACAGGGTATGTGAGTTCCTACATTTGGGTGCTGCCAGCTATTACGTCTAAACTTAAAGTTTATGCATGTTGATAGCAGTGAGTATTTGAGGTATGATAGCAATCTGGCATTGCAGTGATTTTATGTAAAATATCTTATTAGAAGTGTTTATATTAGGTGGCTAATATCATGTCTTTTTTGTACACGCATAGCTGCAATTTTCATTCCCATAATTCCCCCCCCAGTATCTTAGGTGATAAGAGTATTTTATCTTTATTGCTCAGACATTATCGTTAAGTAATATATGAAAGGACTAATGTTGTTTAGAATAAATTGTTAGACATAATATTAATAATAAATACATAGCAAGCCTTTTAATTTTTCAACAAATTACCACGGTTTAATTTTCAATCGTGACTTTGATTTGTTGTAGACTTCTCATAATAATTACCAGTGTTTGTTGCCATTCAACAGCTCAAATATTGTACAACTTACAAATATATATATATATATATAACAGTTTCTTAATACAATCGAACAAACTATCTATGCATACTAACTAGAAATTGAACGTATTGGGAGAAAGACTAGCAAAAAAGAGAAATCTCATGAAACGATAATTATAGCTATTAGCAGTAAAGTCAACCACATAGAAACGGTGTTTACAAAATACACACTAATTAGAAATTGAACATACTGGAAGAAAGACTAGCAAAAAAAGATAAATCTCATGAAAAGATATATATAGCTATATATAGAAAACCAACAACATAGAAACATTATTTACAAAATATGTCCATCCAAATGTAACTAAGCTCTAAATTAAATAATATATATAATAATTCAATTTAATACGCTCTAATATGTATTATTCTCTGTTAACGGACACGTTTATCGCCACAAACTATTGGTCAGTTCAAAGGTAGAGTTTCTAGCAGAGGTTGAAAATGAGGAATTTGGGAATTGTTACATCGACACATTATTATATTAACGCTCTTCCAACAGATTCTTTCTCGTTCGACCAACATGGCAGCCTAGTGACCTCATCTATTTGCATTGTGGTGATAGGACAATGCGTCATCCAGCCATAATGTATAGATCAGTTATGGCTACTTGACATCTGATATATGAATTAACTGTCATGGAAGACTGATCCTATGCAGTCATAATACATACATCAGTGCCGGTGTAGTGTGACCTTCTTACACCATGTAACGACCTTGCGCCATATACATATCGCTATGTGGGCATGTATAACAGGGCACATTTGATTGGCGCGTGAAGATCTCACCTTTATTTACACATGCACAATGTATGGGGGGGGGGGTAGGCTCGTCACAAGGGTCAAGGCGGTCACGCTACGCTAGACAGCCGATGGTAGCGCGTCGTTATCACCATCTGACTCTGCACGCATTCTTCTCGACCCCATGCATTCATGGTGTCGGCACGTCTGCCGTACGGCTACAGTAGCACGGCATCGTCGCCACCCAACTTCGTGGGCATTCTCCTCCTCGTGTGCATTGTTGCTAGTGCGGCTACAGCAGCGCGACTAGCTCCAGCCCCAGCAGCCTCCCGTCGCGCGGCTACAGCAGCGCGACTAGCTTCAGCCCCAGCAGCCTCCCGTCGCGCGGCTACAGCAGCACGACTAGCTCCAGCCCCAGCAGCCTCCCGTCGCGCGGCTACAGCAGCGCGACTAGCTCCAGCCCCAGCCGCCTCCCGTCGCGCGGCTACAGCGGCTCCTCCCGGCGCGCGGCTACAGCGGCTCCTCCCGTCGCGCGGCTACAGCAGCGCGACTAGCTCCAGCCCCAGGCGCTTTCTGGCGACGTCGACGTTGAGGACAGCGACCTCGACGCGGTCGCCGAGCTCGAGCGTGGGCTTGCCCCGCAGCGCGGCGCGGCTCATGCGCGACACGTGCACGAGGCCGTCGCAGCCGACGCCGGCGTCGACGAACGCGCCGAACGACGTCACGTTGCGCACCTGCCCCGTGAGGCGCGCGTGCGGCGCGAGGCTCGCCAGCGAGCAGACGCCCTTGCGGAAGAGCGGCGTCTGGCATTCTGCGAAGAGGAAGAGGGGGGGAGCGTCGGGTGAGATTGATCGGGGAGATTCGGTTTTAATTTTCAGATTTTTAATTCCTTTCTTTTTCTGTCTTTATTTTTCATTAGTCAGTTTCGTTTTCGTTCTTATCCTTCGCCGAGATCGAGAGATTAAAAGAAGTGAAAGGTGGTGACGAAAACTAAACTGGACAACAACAAAAAAGAATGAGAAGAGAAAGATGAGAGCGAAAAAGAAAAATACGAGATGAATGAGATGAGATAGAATTAAGAGATGTGCACATGATTACATACGGAGTGGTGACAATATATACCAGCTCTGATGTCATATCCCATTGGCTGCTGGAGTCCTTCCACTATCAGCTGCATGGTTGGCTCTCCTACAGACATGTCATTTGCAAGCTTGCTTACAGCTGAGAACAAAACAAATACATATGCACCCAATATGCCCACCTATTTGTTATATGTTTATGGAACAGACAATGCGTGAGTGCTACGAAATGGTGGAAATTGCTATTCTTTAGTAATATTGTCTGAACGAGACACACGCATGCTATACTTACATGTTGTCGATATTAACCTTTTCATGCTAGTGACAACCATTGGTTTTCCAATGTCTTCAACACGAACACCTAACAACTTCAACAACCTGAAAAGCATACAGTGAAACATATGTGATACTATAAAAATGTCTCTATGTAATTTTCAAGTGAAAATGCATATATAATCACTACATTAAAACACGTGTAATTCCAATCGTGCAAAATATCAGCAGCAAAGCCTTGGCACTTGCTTTTGTTAAGAATACAATGTCACATCTAAAGACACCACCGCGTCAGTACTTTAACTAGCTGCTATGTTTGCAGGCTGTTCATTGCTCATATCAAATCTGAATACGGACAAACTCAAGAGCTTCAAAGATGTTGGCCTGTAATTAATTTCTCGAATTTCACAATTGATAAAACGTACTTGCTAGCAACTGGGTAAGATTCTGGGTGTATGCAGGTGCGATCGAGAGGGTCCAGTTGCAATTCCTCCACCTCGGTTGTCTTAGCCTTCTTCAACTTCCCACCTCCTGCTGATGCAGCCTTCCTTTTCACTGCTCCCGAACTGCTGGGTTTAGCATCATACGGCATCGTTTCTGTTTTGCTGTGCGCAGAAACAAACTATATGTGTAGCTTGGCCGCTGGAAGGGATTGACTCTGGACACTGATATCCAGATTCACGCATAAATGGCACTGTGTGAGCTAACTAAAGCATACATGTATAAGAGGCATAGCATAAGTATATAACATAAGGCACAAGGCTGCTGTACATAGTCATCGATAGCAAGGTTCAGCGAGTTACAACCTTTGGCATAGAGCCATATAATTATAGCCATAATTAATAGATACTAAAAATACGCGTGTGCACGACAATGAACCTGTGACTTTTATTTCCTATTTAAGCTGCAATGAAGTCGTTCAGGTACTTCTAAAACCACGTATGTATGTATACATGCGCACCACGTCAATGGGCAGGCGTTGTCGGACGTGATCCTCACAAACCCAGCACACTGCTCGAACGTTTTCGGCCCGATTCCCTTAATCGCCAGCAGCTGGCGCCGGTTGGTGAAGCGGCCATGTTGTCGTCTCCACTCGATAATATTTTGTGCCTGCTTTGCATTCAGGCCTGAGACTCGCCTGTGGAAAAATGCACAATACTCAGACCATCGCCTAAAAACCTGAGATGTGGGAAAGGGAGATATACAGAGGAATGAAATGGGGAGAAAGAGAGAGAGGCAAAAAGAGAGTGAGTGAGAGAGAGAGAGAGAGAGAGAGAGAGAGAGAGAGAGAGAGAGAGAGAGA